CTTTTTTGAGGGTGCCTATAGTTGTAGACACTTAAGAGATTTGTTGGGAAATTGCTCCATTTTGTTGTTGTTGGTAGTTATATGAAGACACTCTTGCTGAAGTTTTATCATTTATTTATTTGTTTATTTAACAGATATGTATTAGGACTTGCTTATGCCAGGCACAGTACTGAAAATCATAAATTTGGTTGCAAGCATGATAGACATGGTCCATGCCTTGACAGAGCTTAAAGAACCTAATTAGAAAGAAATTTAAAAATTAATTATAACTCAGTGTGTTAAGTGTGTAGAAGGGGAGGAGTCTCAATAGTTATGTATTGCAGCTCAACAAATTATCCTGAACTTAGCAAACCTAGCAGGCCAAGAGAAATAGAACCAAGAAGGCATGTGAGTGTTTGTGTGTGTGTGTGTAATTTATATGTGTACATGCATGTATACATGTATACACACACATGCCTATATATATATATATATATATATATATATCTTCCTATTTATTGAGAGAATTTGAGAGAATGAGACATTTGTTACATAAATGAAGCTCACATAATATAGAAGCTGGCAAGTCCAAAATCTTCGGGGCAGGACAACAGGCTGGAGCCAGGGAAAATATGTTTCAGCTTGATTCTAAAGGTAGTCTGAAGGCAGAATTCCCTCTTTCTTAGTATACATCAGTCTGGTTTCTTTTAAGGCCTTCAACTGATTGGATAAGGCCCACCAAAATTATGGAGAACAATCTGCTTTACTCAGTGTCTACTGATTTAAATGTTAAATTCATCTAAAAAATATCTTCACAGCAACATCCAAATTAATGTTTGGCCAAACATCTGGGTAATGTGGCCTAGCCAAGTTGACACACACTATTAACCATCACAGTTAGGGATCTGGGTATGGCTTGACAGGGTAGTGATGGGGAGGTCCTCCAGCTCAAGGTCTCTCACACAGCTTCAATCAAGGTGTTGGACCAGGCTCACAGTCATCCCAGCTGGATCAGGATCGGCAGTCACCCTATTCAACTGGGACATTTCCAAGCTCATTCAGTAATTGCTGCAGGACTCAGCTCCTCACAGGTTGATGAACTGAGAGCTTTAGTACCTTGCTAGCTATTGGCTAGAAACTTCCTTCAGTTCCTTGCCAAATGAGCCTCTCCATAGCATAGTTCACAACATGGGAGCTGAGGTCATCAGAGTCAGAGGGCAAGAGAGATGTCATTTCCCAACACTTTTGCCATATTCTGTAAAGAAGTCACTAGGTCAGCCCATACTCAAGGTTAGGAGCAAGAGGGGATAACACAAGGGTGTGAATACTAGTATACGGTCAAGCAAGGGAATCAATGGAAGGTCCTTTTGAGGTTGAAATATTTTAACTTTACAATGAGAAACTAGAGAAGGTATGAAATACTGATGTGGCCTGGGACGATTCAACAAAATAGGAGAGGCTTCTAGTGTGCAGTGCCATAGCTGGGCTGGTTTACATAGAGAAGGAGACACAGCAGTAGTTCCTAATAAGTGGTGTACATCTGAATCACCTGTGGAGCATTTTTTAAAATACATGTAGTGAGACCTTTCTTCTGCTGATTCCATTTCAGTAGACCTTAATGATTATGATGTACCCTTGGTGAGATTCATAATAATATGATGAGCAGATTATATCAATTTGATCCAAAAGTTTGGGTCACAAATAGTTGTTTTAAGATTAGAGAGAATGGTGCGAGCAGCTATTCCTAAAGAGGAACTTAGCTCTAATCTTTGAGAAAATTGGAAGCCATTGTAGGTTCTTGAATAGAGGATATACATAATTGGAGCTGCATTTTAAAAGTTATTTTAATTATTCATTCAGTCAGTCAGTCATTTTTTTAATCAAAACATTTACTTATCACACCATAGACCAGTCAGAGAGGATGACAGATCTTTTAGCTATTGGTAGTATGGAAGATCTGATGTTATGAGTTGGATGCTTGGGAAGGAGAGTTCATAGGATTTCATAATTCAGCAGAAGGGATGAAGAGGGTGAGAAGGGAATGAAGACACCAAGTCTTCTGTAGGTTCATTCTTCTTACACAGACTGGGAAGTAGGGAGGGTGTGGGACAATTCAAGCCATGTGCTTTTAGCTCTTCTGTTCAGTACAATGTATGGGTCAGTAAGCTCTTGAAAAAGGGATTTATACAGGGGACTACATTTTAAATCCATAAATGGTGAGATTCCTGCCAAGCTTCTTCTGAATTCTATAAGGTCTAGAATATGGGGGAAATACAAATGTTCATTAATGTGATAAGACATTTCTAAGTGAATGATACAATCAAACAGAGCCTTTGTTTTCATTGCTTCTAGAGAACCAAAGCCACAATCATTCTGTGGCTCTGTGCTTGTAACAATAGAGTACATCTTTTCATTATACTTTCCAGAATAAAAGGGTGTATGATTTCTCTGCACAGTGACAGACATGTTTTCTTGAATAATACCCTATAAAGGTCACACTGGAGATTTGAGTCACAAGCCCTGTGATTTAAATTTGAGGCTAAGTTTAAAAATGTATCTAGAGCTTGCCAAGTTCCATTAAAAGCCATAGTGTCATTTTGGATTACAGTTGAATAAAGCAGAATCCAGTGTTGTATCTTTCTCATTCCTTGGCTGGGTTGTTACGGTAGATATGTGCTTCCATACCAAATCCTGGAAAATAATGTCAAATTTCATAGATCTTTTTTTTTTTCTAAAGTAGCTTATTTTCTAGCTTTTCAGTTATCAGAGGATTTCTGTAAAAGCCTAGTCACTTGGGTGTGTTTACTTATTGTTGATCTTGAATGCTCCTCCCTTCTTCACTGAAACTTCCTTGATTCCCTTCATCCACAGCAGAGTGGATTTCCAGCTCTCCAAAGCTTCTGAGCACTTTTTGCCTCGCTGATACCATCATGTCTGCTACACGGCTGTGCTAACGCTTCTTCCTAGCATTTGATGAGGTCTCACCAGGTGCCAGTCCTTGTGCCAAGTAGTTCATGTAGGTTATCTTACTCAGTGCTCACAATAGCCTGCCCAGGAAGGAAGTGATTTCTGCATTTCGCAGATGAGGAAGTGGAGTTAAAGAATTTCACCACCTTGCCCCAGATCATACAGCTAGGAAGTGGTGAAACAGGAACACTCCTCGGCAGTCTGGTCCAGGCCCCATTCTTTCAAACACTTACTAGTAACCACCTTCTTAATGTTTTACATCTTAGTTGTATCCCCCCTCCAAGGCAGTAGGATGTTTGAGGGAATTTTCTGACTTATGAATTGACTCAAAGTAGGCAGCAAATAATTGCTGAATGAATAATTGAAATTTGCCATTGAACTTTTATGGGAAACAGGTCTACAAGTTTAGGCATTTAACTGAAACTTCACTCTTAAGTGATATGAAGAAAATAAAATGCGAGTTATATGAGGTTTTAAGAAGTGTTTCTGTTTATTTTGTATCTTGGTGTTCAGGTTAGATTCTATGGTCCAAATACTTTTTCCCATTCTTTGTCAAGCTCTTCTTCCTTCTTTCATGTAAAGATAAACTGGCTCTGTTGGGCTTTGTTCTTTTTTTTTCCCCCATGTAATAATCCCAGGCTCCAGTCCTACAAAACTCCAAAAATGCTATCAATCATTTTTCCCTGTTTCTTTATTCATGCCGTAAGCTTTTGTTGCCAAAAATAAAAATATTTCAAAGTTATGTGTGGCCTTCCTGCTCCATCATTCTCTAGCCTTGCTGAGGAGCTTCCCAAGCACAGTGTGGATAGGGGCTGAAAGTTTCAGAACTCAGAAGTTTATGGCATTAAGAGCTAGAACTCTGGGGGCAATTTTGAAGTGATTAATTGGGGTTTAGTGACCCTGAAAGACACTATAAGAGAGGGTGCTTGGGTAGCTGGTGGAGGGTAAGTTGAGGGACTCTCTGGTTCAGCAGCAGAACAACAAAAACATGCAGATATTTGATTAACGATGAGAATAGAAATCTGGATGGAGCCCTGCCAAGCTTTGCCCAGTCACCATCAGCTGTTAGGATGGACATAGCTGCCAGGGGATACACTGATATTCACACAAAGTGTAAGCTCTGTCTCTAATTGTATCAGAAAAACCCTCAGGGAAAGGTGGTATTCTCTTTCACCATGACAGTGAAGGAACAGTGGCTCGTGCAAGGGATCCGAGGAAAACAAGCCATTTGCACAACTATCCGTGATGTAACACAGCACACACACCCACAGCAAAACGTTAACAAGGAGGCTACTGAATTTACCATGAGTTCTCTGCCTAAGGAGGAAACGGGTAAGAAAAAATGCCCTGCTTAGAGCTGGTGTCTGTGTTTCGGTGGGGCCTAAGGCAATACTTTATATAACACTAAAGCAAATTAAGACAGAAAATTTCTTAACTTAATGATATATGAACTAAATCAGCACATTGCAGGATTATCTATTCTCTTGTTAATTGTGTTTGTGAAGTATTTTTCCAAATCACACAGGCCACAGAGTGACATGAGGGAAAGAGCCAGTCTGGAGACCTCTGGGCTTTGCAGACCTCAGGTTCTAAGTCCGATCTCAGGAATCTGTGCTTTAGTTTCTTCATCTGTAAAATAGAGCTGGTTCTCATCAGCTACAGGGCTGCTGTTAGTTTAAAGCATGCATGTATACAAAGCCCCTCGCACAGTGCCTCACAGCTGGTCGGAGCTCAGTAAATCCTACTGTTGCTGCCTCTCCATGTGCACACCCCGCCCATGATTCTCCATCCCTAGCCTGCTTAGAGAAGGGGAAAAGCAGAGTTCACTTAGTTAATAAAACACTCCTGACATTTCAGATACAGTGCTGAAAGGTTAGTGTCCCACCATGCCATTTATGAATAAGAAAAGTTTTGTAGTACAAAATGAACAGATTAATACCATTATTTTAATACCAACAGTAGGTGCTAATACAGTACTTTATGACCACGATGGCTGGGCTTCACAGTAACCGTTTTTGGACATTTCCCTATGGGGTACTTTCCTTTCCTTCCAGAAGCATCTGGCATGTCAAAGCCACACAGTGTTCCATGCGACTTCCTTTGTGAACAGCTTCCATTTAAAAGACTTTTGTGAAGACATTGTTTCAGTCAAATCTCCAAAGAACACATTTGTCTTCTGATCTGCTGGAGGTCTTAAGGTTTGTGTTAATTTTTTTTCTTTCTCTCACTGAAGGTACTATGTTTTAAGGGATATTTTAAAATTGGATAATAGTCATACTCTTTTGTAATAACTCTGAAAGTAGATTATACACAGATTGTAATCCTTTGATTTTATGGAAGGTAGATAGAAATGAAAAGAAATTTGATATGCCACTTCTACTTATTATTGTATGTTCTGTGGAATGTTACAAGGATATTAAAAATAAAATATCCCCCACATTGGCCTAAAAAAAATTTTATTTCTGCTGTTCATAAACTTTTAGTGAATGGATTCAATAAATTTATATTGAGTGTCTAGATTTGTCAGATTTTCTTAAGTACTTTCAATTAGTTAAGATCTTGTGGATAAATTATATTTGGAAACATTGAAAATCAAAACTTTATTGTCAATACCAACTAGTATTATCATTATGACATTTTTCAAATTATAAAGTCTCAGTGGCCAGTGTTTTCATTTAGTCCTACCAAGCGGTACTCACTCACCCTATAATGTAAAATGATAGAACAGAGATGATGTTGTTTAATGTTTGCATATTAACAGCTCGAAAAATTGCTAGTAGTATTGTTGCTTACTCAAGAAAACAGCTGCAAAACAAGCATTTTGTTTTGGAAGTACATGCTTTGCTGTTGAGATAGTACCAAGTGAAAGACTTTTATTTTGAAAGTACTTTTGGACAAAGGCCTAACCAAAGGCTGAATTCAATCCATGCCTTTCACAGACGGGTAAATAAAACAGGAGAGTGGATAAAGCTTGGAACACGGAGTGGATAAAAACGAAATGAAAACCAAAGGAGAAGGAATATAGCAGTCTCTCTAGAATGACACATCTTTCTCTGTAGGTGTGCATTTCCTTTGGTTGGACTTGTATTCTGTCCATGGTGACAAATGTTTTCACCCCTCCTAGCCCTTTACTGTGGGTTCTCTTTTTATTTCTTTTATTTCTACTGAGAAATCAAAGTAGATTTCACCGCAGTGCTGGGCTGGAGTCCAGTTTTCCCACAGCGCCCTTCAGCGGTGGGCTGCATGAGTGACTCGCTTTGCAGTGTGAGGCAGGCCGTACGTGTGGTGGGGACGGGTAGTTGTGCCTCCCTCTTCAACCCCAGTCTGTCAAGGCGGTGGGAACTGCAGTGCGCAGAAACCTAATAGGTGTATCCATAGAAACAGAAGTGCTGGGAAGTCTCCTAAATGTCCCTTCCTGGTCTACAGGTCGGTTACCACTTGAACTGTCTGAAACGAATGAGAATCTATCTGCTTTCCAATCTTTATACCCGGGCATCCACTTTCCTTTTGAAACCTAATATAGATTCTCCTTTGTTAGAAATCTGAGGTCAAGAAAACCTAAGTAATTCCTGGCTTCCTGGCATGGTGATGTGTTTCTTCTGTGGATTTATGAGAGTACCGCCCCCTCCTCCTCCCCCCCACCCCCCGCCAATCTCATCATCGACTCTGTTCTCAAGTCTTCCTTTTCCTCTTCAGGAGAGTTAAACCCATCATTTTCTTTAACTTTCCTTGCAAAATTACACAATCCAAAAATTTATTTATCCTCACAGTTCTTTGCCCAGTCTCTTAAGTTCTCTATATTTTGTAATGTTAAGAGTCAGATGTGCTGAAGGAGCATTAAAATAATCTATTAATGTTTCTCAGTGAGGCCACTATTGACATTTTAAGGGGGACAGTTTTTATGTCCCATGGATTTTAGAATGGTTAATAGCCCAGGTGTCCAGGAATGAAAGGCCTACAGCCCTCCAACCCATCATTGTGATAATCACATTCAAACCTCCTTTGCATTTCCTGTGGAGGGAGACCAGGACTGCCCCCAGACTATGGACTCCTTAGAGTCGAGAATGTTGAAATTGGTAGAGTTGAGCAAAGGGTGGAGCTGGGCCTGGACCCAGTTTTTAACTTTGGGTGCTATGCTCTTCCCACTCTGTCATATTCCTACTTTGGGCCTACGTTTAGTCTCTAGCTGTCTAGGAACACACTAGCATGCACATACGGGTACCTTGTTAGAGAATCAGCATTTCAGCGTTGGTGTTTATAGGAGATCCCTGTTGTTCGGTATGGGAACACCGGTATGTGAAAGATAAGATCAGAACTCGATGCAGGAAAATACCAGGTCTGGGGATTTAGGGAAAAGACAGGACTGATACTCCAGAGGAAATGGTGAGCCTGATGTCACACAAGTGTCAGCTCAGTCACTGAGGGAGGAAGGTGTAGAGAATCTGAATCCTAAGAAAGATGGAACAAAGTAAGTAACAAAGGGATATTTTTTCACTTGCTTTTCACACTGTACCCTAGTTCCAACTCTACTCCACATCACAGGCTTCCTCAGAAATCTGAGGATCAGTTTGTGGGGAGCTCAGAGGACCCTGGGTTACAGCTGCAGCTCTCCCTCCCCTCGGCCCCAGTGTCCCTTGCCTCACCCGCCTTCCATCAGCTTTTCTGTCTTTCCCCTCACTTCTTTGTTGGTGGCCCCCACTTAATTCTTCACGCATGCAGAGAATGGGGAAGTGACTGGGTGACTTACTTCTCCGACTTCATCCAAAGTCTCAAGTAAAGTTACAAATTAAAAGGAAAGAACATAAAAACAATTGAGCTTTTGGAAATTACTCCCATGAAAACTTCGTTAAGGCTCTGATCTCTTGAGATGTTCACCATGACACAGGCACAAGCTTTCCCTAGAAAAACAACTTTTCTTCACCACGATTTTCTTTGGATTTAACCTAAGAAATCCATGAGTTCCCTAGTACAGAAGTTACTTAACAAAGTGAGAAGTATTCATGACTTAAAGATACAATTCTAAGTAGGGGTATCTCCATTGTTAGAGTGGATTACACTTCATATCTGCCTTGGCTAAAATACATACAGGAGACAGAGTTGAAAATGGGAGCTGGACTAAAGGACTCTTTGCTTTATAGTAAAATGATGAATCCTACATGATAAGATCTATCGTCTATAACAAGGCTACATGTACAGAGAAAGATATAATAACATCAAAGCCTTCCCTTATCTTGTTATTTAATTATTTAGAGTTTTATGACTGAGCTCCTGAGCCAAATTTTTTTAAACATGATGATTTTCCTGTCCTGTCTTCTTTTGTACACCAGGCAAATTATATTTGACTTCTTAGAGTTTCTCATCTCCTGAAATGCACAACTAGTTCTGTAAACACGGATGAATAAATATTAGCTTTATGAGACCACATCCCTCTACTAGTAGAAAAATAGCATATAATACAAAATACAAGGATGTACTATTGAAAATTATAGGTCAGTATGCCCTTTAATTGTGGGTATATATCTAATCCTCATGCATGAAGACTGCTTTTTCAGAAAAAGGTGTGCTCTGTAATACCATCTGTATCTGCGACATATTTTCACCTCTTTCATATATCTCAAATGACTCTTGTGTCACCAGTGAAATGTTTCAGGCTTATTTAGCACTGTGATCATTAAAAAACAACAGAAAACTCTCCAGCTTCTCTCTATTAATTCTAAAAATTACAGATAATCCAAAGTTATTAAAATGTTCATAGGTTCCCTTTCTGCTAGAGTTCTCCAGCACCCAGTGAGCTCCTTGGAATTACATTAGAAAATGTTTAATGACAATTTTGAAAGAAAAGGTAGTCTTTGTGAGGGGTTTAAAAAAATGTCAACTGTGGTCTTGAAGAGCTAATCAATACTTTTAAGTGTGCAAATTGTTATTCCAAAATTCAGACTCTAACTATATTTAGGAGCAATGAAAATGTGGCATCCATTAACTGTGTCCTTTAAACCTCACATTCACACTTTATAGGGAAGAAAAAGAGTAACGTACATGGATAGTGTGTAAGCTGAAACACTCTTTTAAAGCTAGAGAATTCAGTATAATTATGTTCCGGTAATTCACTTCCATCTGGAAGTGACCATCCATTTAACAAAAGTGCCTCTGACTTACCATATCAAGGACAGTCCTTTCTTCTACATTAACTCTCCATTGTTCCTCTTACTAAAGACAGAAAATAATTAGCATTGGATATTTCAGGCTCTAAATAAAACTGGATTTATTAGAATAGCTTCTTCTAATTTCCTAAATTTCTATAGCATTCTTCTATTTAACAAAATGTAAAAACTATGTTAATTTATATTATGAAATAGTTTAAACCTACAGAAAATAATGAAGTCTATGTATCTATCCCCATATTTTAAAATGTTGATACTATCATATTTGCTATTTGGATCTCTATTTTTTAAAGTTAAAAAAGTCACCCTCCTTCCTATTCATCCATCCCCTGAAGTAATATAATTATAACAAGATTATTGTACACCATCCATTTACATTATATTGTATTACGATATTTTATTCATATGAGTTATAGATATATACACATTTATTATCCGTAACTAATATATGTCTTTCTCTATATGTGGCATATTATTTTTAAGTCCACATAAATGAGATCATGCTGAGTTTATACCTTTGTAATTTGTTTTTACTCAACATTAAGTTTTTTTTTTAGAATTACCTATTAATACATGAATAGCTGGCTCATTCATAATAGTTGATTGTTATATAATCTTCTATAAATAATGTATATCTACCTTCTCCTAATAGAACACTTACCAGTCTTTTTTTCCCTTGGACAACCATCTCCGTATCCCCATTTTATCGTTCACTGTAGACACGGGGGTTCACTGTGTGGTATTGCTGCATCCCGCCTGCCTTAAAATAGGCATTTAAAGTATTTGTTCTTTAAATTATACCTGTCAACAAAGATTTCTACTTTGTTTTGTTGTTACTCTTAGATGCACCTCTGTCCTTTTCTACTGATTTTTCCTAAGAGCAGTTTCTAATGTGGCTTTACTAATTCCATCTAATTTAAGTGTAATTGTATCTAAACAGTGAGAAAAGACAAAAGAAATAGAGCAAAGACAAACACAAGAAAATTAAAAGAGGAAAGAATTACTTCCAACCCTTAGCCTCTGAACTGGTGTCCATGAGAGATAGTTTTTAAAGTACTTTCACATGATTTTTACATTCTGTCATGTTAGAGGTCAGCTGGTTTTGGTTCTCTCCCAAAAGACCAAGCAAAAATTTCCTTTTGTCTCTTGGTTTCATAATAACATTAGAAAAAATGTGCATGATTTATTAAAAGTTAGATTCAATGTTAGATTTCAAGATCTATCTCATGTTAAATGCTTGTTTAGTGTTGAGTGCCTTAAAAAATTGGGAGCTATTTAAGGTCCTCAAATGAATATGTATTTGAACTTTTTAGTAGATTTTAGGATGGTTTTGTTTTTTGCCTAACATGTGCTAAATAAATCTTTGTTGAATGACTGAGTGAATAAACAAAACAATAAATATTTGTAGAGGTTACAGTAACAAATTTTATAGAGGTTACATGGTCATTTGACTTGGAGGTATTTTAGTGTTCCTAGTAATCATCTTTCATCTACTAGAACACTCAACTTCAACATTTAAACCTCCTAGGATTGAAAACTGATGTCTAAAAACAAATGGAAAATCAGTTAACTGAGAACATTAATCCCCAAGAGTTATTAAAATTAATGTCTCTGTTCAGATTACTGAGGACCTTAAAACAAGTGTCTATTCCCTTAAAATTCTAAGAGCTATATATCTTAGAGTTTAGACTATTTTCAAATTCTGTTCTTTCTTGTTATTCTAAGAGAGTAAAGCTTTTTTAGGTCAGTTATATTTCTGTATATGACTATGGGCTGAGCTAGTTGACACCACTAAAAAATACTGCAACTTTGAAAAATTCAGAAGCAAAGGCAATTATTTCTAGAATTGACAGAGCCTTTCCTGAGTTCAATTCTTGCTCTCCTTAATTATTTATTCCCTTCAAGATACTGGAAATGATTATACTGAAAATTATCTTACTACTTGCCAAATGTAATTTTCTATATAAAAAGATTAATAAGTATTGAGAATTTCCTTTAGTCTGCCTTGCAAGCAATGCTCTAGTCTTTTCTGAAGGTCAAGTTTATAGGGGTTTAGCCCCTTAATCTTTATTTTTGTTGTATTTGATGGAGTTCTCCTAAGCTTTGTGTCAAGTTTAGTTTTCAGCCAGATCTTTGGTACTGAGTATAAGTCTTCAGAAAATAGGGTTTCTGTCAGAAATTCTTGCACACATTCACTGTAGCTGCTCTGCTGGGTATAACCATACTAGTCAGGCTTTCTTGTATGTCTAGAATCAGCAGGGAAATGCTTTTCAATTGTAGCCCACATATGTTTTTAAGCAGAATTTCTTCTGGTAGTACTAATATTCCCAATACGAGATTATTAGTGATGTTTTCTAGGAGTAAGTGTATGATTTTACCAGCATCCATCATAATGATAGATCTGCAGATAGCCTTGGGTTCTCATTTGGCATGTGTGTTAATAACTATGGTGGAATTCCAACAAATTGTCCGCAATTTATTTCTGGTGGGTTTTCCTTTAGAAAAACAAATAGCTGCTCCATCCATCTGCCGCCAAGTTGTTGCACAGGACTCATTTCAAATTATCACCAGCTATGGAGCCTTCTTTGCCTTCCTCTCTCTGCCTCTGCAGGCCCGTTCTCTCCCTTCTCTCAGGAGCTGGAGGGGAGCAGCTGGCTTCTGGTACCAGCCAAGAAGATGAGGCTGTAGAGAAAAGTCAGGAAATGTGTCCAGTAATAGGCCTATTGTCATCATTCTATATTTTCTTTTCCTTTTCTTTTATATCAGGGTACATAGAATTTAAAATAATATTAATAATAAAAAGAATCAGGCCACTGATGGCTTGGCAGAAAGAAGATCGGTCATGATGTTGGATTATAAGTTTTTTCAAATACTCTTTGAGAAAGTTCCTATTAAAACTTGAAAAGAAATGGAAAAAAGTGAAAAATAAATGCAGTTTTAATTCAGATTAGAGTTTCAGCAACTTTGAGTAAATTGAAACCCAAATTTGGATTCTTTAATACAGTAACATCTGTGCAAAATTTAAAAAGATAAGCAATACATTTTTCCCAAAAGTGTTGAAGAAATTAGGTTAACAGGTCTAGACAGAAAACAAAGCTAATAAGCATTAGCAATTTAGAAAAAACATAAATTTCAAGTGTGCTCTTAATACTTGAGACATGGACATAAGTAATTAAGGACAAAGAATCTCAAGGATGCTTGTAAAAGAGACAAAATTATTCCAGGGAAGCCTACCTAATTTGGGTGAACTAGAGAGAGCAGACTCATTGGAATTATGTGCTGTTTCATTTCAAAGAAGGTTTTACACATTGAAGTAAACTCAGTAGTATAAATTTGTAGATGATAAACACCTCAACAACAACAACAAAAACCTTCTTGTTCCTGCATCACAATCCCTGATTCTGCCCCAGTAATTTTACTCTAAGTTGATCCACAGTGGAAGGAATTATAAAAGTTTGGCCTTTTACCATCCTAAGTAACTTGTATTAATTTAGGAAACAGTGTATTCACCTAAAATCAGTGGTAAACTTTATTTGAATGTAGATCTCCTAATAGACTTTGATAAATTCATTACTATTTAAAATGAAAGGATGGTTTAAGATTGTAGGTGTATCAGTGGTGAAACCCAGAAAGATGATTTCTAAGTGACAGAGTATTCTCACTTACATGTAGCATCTTATTTCCTCCTGCCAGTAAGGCTTCACTGAAGAAGAAGAAGAAGAAGAAGAAGAAGACATTAAAGTGCTGTGCACCTGACTCCCAGCCTGTGTCTCCACTCAAGAAAGAGGTCACCAAGTAGAGACAGCCCAGCCTCCCAGCCCAGCAGAGAGAAGTGAGAGGAAAAGATAAGGGCAAGGAGAGGTGATTGCAGACCAGATTTCTCTTCCCTGTGATCCCAGAATCTGGCATGCAGCCAGCACTTCTTTAATTTTCTTTAGCTTCTGTTGACAGCACAGGGTTTATGTGTGTGTGTGCTGGAGGCAGGAGAGGGAGTTCCTTTTTAATAGATACAAGGGAATGACATACTTTTATGAGGAAGACATTTTTCTAAATTCTTTTCTGAAAATAGGGACATTTGAAGAAACCCTATAGGCAAAAGTTTTCCAGATAAAATGTCTGAGACCATATCCATTCATTTGAAATTTTGCACATGCACAAAGGACTGCTATTACTGAACAATGCCATCACTGTTAGAAAGCCCATTCTTAACTTTAGCAAAGAAAGTATAATCCCAAAATAAGGATGAGTTAAGGAAATGGAATGTACTTTTCCTTTAATTTAAAATAATTTTGTTGTTGATGTTTTAAAATCCTGGGTAAAAAGTCATTAATCACAGTTTCTTAGAGTTTCATGAAGTATATACATTTGACAGTCCAAAGGACAGCAATCATAGTAAGATGAAATGATTTTCAACATTCTAAAGCCCAGTTTTCTTACCAGAAACATTACTAAATATTGAATTGCAAGTATAAAAGATATCAAATTAAAAGATACAAGATATCACATTGAAAATTGCATGTAAACTCTCTATTTATAAAAATATAAGCACTATTGAAAATATAATTTATGCTTCAATAAACTTTTTTAGAAAAGAAAATATAAATTATTAAAATGTACTTTTACTTATGCATGTCTCAGCAAAGTAAGACATAACCCACATAACAAATTCTGCTACCTTTTTTCCTGTCTTAGAATTCCCATCATTTGTGAACACATGCAGTTGCTTAATCTATTGATTGAAAATGCAAAAATTAAATTTTTTAAATGAATATTGAATAAGACAGGGGCTGGCTATAAATAGCACTAACCTCTCATTAGACAGCACTTGGAATTTTTTTTCCTAGAATTACCTTACCCAGTTTCATTTGCTTCAGTCCTGGAGGGTATGCACAGAACTTTGCCCAAAGTAGGTGGTAATTTAAATGGTTGCTAACCAAATAAGTAAGAGAGTTAATTAAAGGTGGCTCACAAAGGTGAATTTCCAAAAACCCCATAACTTCAGTGAGCCAAATACCAGATGGAAAGGGTTTCTGAGACATAACACTACATGTTCTCATTTTACATTTCCTCTCCAAGGTCCCACTCTATTTATTGCTATGGCATCTGGCAGGCTTTCTTTTCTGAGCCCAGCATGTTCCATGCCATGTGTTAACATTTTCCGGGAATGAAGGTTAAGGAAATACCATTTTTAAAAATACACTTTATGGGCTTTTAAAAATATATTTCCTTTCAACTAACCCATTCACTTAGGGGTCCTAATAAATGACATTTTACCCATAGAAAAAAAATCATGGTGAATCTGATGTTATCTATGCACCAAACATAACAATTGCTTTAACAAAGTATGTAAAAATTGTCCTCCTTCTTCAGTTTTTGAGACATTTTATTTTTGTGGGTTTATGGCCACAGGCACTCCATACTTCACTAAAAATAGTAGCTACAACATTTACTCCATGCATAGTAATACTAGGAACTCTTTGTTACATATATTAGCAAATATAGTAATTTAAGATTCTGTATAAAAGGATTATTTATCACTTACATTTTATAATTAAGGAAATTTAGACTTAGACTATTTAATAACTTAACTATTTTCACGTGGCCAAAAACTTACGAAGTTGACATTGCTTTCTTCTTTCTTTTAACTTTTATTTACTGTTTATTGTGAAAGACTAAATTTTTAAGGATTTTTTTCCTTTTGCAACACTTTATTCCGAAAATGTTTAACCATACAGAAAAGTTGAAAATAATTTGCAGTGAACACCATATACTCACCACTATGCATCATGTGTCCTTCTATCCATTCATAAATCCATCTTATTTGTGGGCATATATCAAAGTATGTTGAAGACATCACTACAATGCCCCCAAAATACTTTGGCATATGTATCATTACTTGAATTCAAAGTTTATGATTTTTTTTTAATGACTCATCTTTTTTGAAGTAAAAAGTTTTTAGGTGAAGTTTACATATGTATATACATAAAACACACAGATCTCAAATGTACATATCCATGAGTCGTGACAAATGCACTCATCTGAGCCACCCAAATCTGTGTCACTCCAGAAAGTTCCCAAATACCCATTCCCAGCACATCCCAACCTCTCACCTGCGCAGATCAGGTCAGTTAGAGCTCTAGGACTTCATATAAATAGAATCATACATTACATACTCTTTTGTGTCAGCTTTCTTTCACATAGTATAATGTTTTTGGGGTTGATCTATTCTTGAGTTTATCAGTAGTTCATTTCTATGTACTGCTGAATGATCTTCTACTGTCTGAATATACCACCATTTGTTTATCCATGGATGGATACATGTGCTCTTTCTGGGTTTTGACTGTTATAAATAAAGTTGCTGTGAACATTTTTGAACAAGTCTTTCTGTGAATATTGGCTCTCATTTTTATTAGGTCAATATCTAAAAGTGGGATTTTAGTCATAGATAGGCATATATTCAGTTTTAAAAGAAATTGTCAGATCTTTGTCCAAAGTCATTGTACCATTTTACATCCCCACCAACAGTATATGATAGTTTTAGTCATTCCACATCTGTAACAGCATTTGGCATTGTCAGTCTCTCTCTTCAAGTTTAGCCATCCCAGTGGCTTTGTATTGATATTGCATTGTGATCTGATAGCATCTTCCCTGATGACTAATATGTTGAACTCTTCTCAATGTGTTTACTGGCCATTCATCTATGTTCTTTTGTAAAGTATCTGTTAAATTGTTTGTCCATCTTTATATTGGGTTGTTATTTTTATTTTTGTGCTATAAGATATATTCTTTTATACACACACACACACACACACAGTATTTTATCAAACATGCAACTATTTCTTTCCAATTCCAAATTATGGATTGCCTCTCCATTGTCTTAATGATGTATTTTTATAAGCAGAAGTTTTAATTTTGGGGGTTTAACTTATTATATTTTTTTCTTTAGTGGGCATTGATTTTTGTATCCTTTCTAAGATAACTTCATCCTCAAGTCAAAAAAAATATGCTATGGCTTATTTGAAAAGCTTTATAGCTTTATCTTTTATGTTTAGATTTATGATATATATTGCATTAACTTCTGTATATTATGTGAGGACAGGGTAGGATATTTATTTTTTTATATAGAATATTTAATTCTTTCAACACTATTTGTTGAAAAGACTTTCCTTTTCCTATTGGAATGCCTTGATGCTATTCTCAAAAATCAAATGACCATATAAGTGTGCATCTTCTGACTCTCTGTTCTGTTCCACTGATTTCGTTGCTTTTTATGTTAGTACCACACTATTGATTACTATAGTTTTATAGTAGGTGTTCAAATCAGATAGTGTAAGCCCTCCATCTTTGTTCTTCTTTTGTTTAGATATCCTAGTTATTCTAAAATCTATCTAAGATAGATAAATCTGCTGACCTATCTGCTGACCGCTCAAAAATCTATCTAAGATTTTAGAATAAGCTAGATGGTTTCTAAAAATAATCAGTTTAATGGGATTATGATTGGGAATATGTTGAATCTAAGGCTCAATGTGGAAACAATTGACATCAATATTGAACCATCAAACCTATAAACATACACTCTCCATTTATATATGTCTTCTATACTACTCAGCAATATTTTAAAGTTTTTAGTGTAAAGTTCTTCATGTCTCATTTCATTTTATTACTAAGAATTCTATATATTTATAACATTTTAGGTAGAATTTAAATTTTTTATCTTCCAGTTGTTTCTTACTAAAATATAAAACTACAATTGTATTATTATCCTGATATCAAAACCAAACAAATATGTCACAAGAAAACTTTAAGATACAGACCAATACTCTTTAAATATAGACCCAAAAATCTTCAACAAAATACTGGCAAGTCAAATACAACAACATGTAAAGAGGAATATACACCATAATCAAATGAGATATATCTCAGCAGTGCAAGGTTTGTCAATATTCAAAAGTTAGTAAATGTGAGGCACTTCATTGATAAAAGAAAGGACAATATTTAGTATTTCATTCTTGGGTTCTTTCATTTATACCTAGTATCAGTGAAAGAGAAAATGAGTTAGAGGATCCCAAAGGTAATTTTAAGGGCTAGTGTTACGTGTGGCAATCCACATTCTTTGGCTAGAACAAGATACATGTTAACACCTAAATGCAAGGGATAGTGGGAATTACAGCCTTCCTGTCTGTCCAGAAAAAAAAAATGATCTGGTAAAATCAGAATAATTACAGTGATGGCAATTGGATAAAAAATAATGCTATTTTATATTTATGTAACACTATATACTATCTAATTCAGAACTCCTTTTCTTTCTTATGCTTTGTATTAAAATTCAGAACATATCTCTCAATACTGATGTAGTATAGGCTTTATCCCTGATCTTCTATTTCTTATTCTTCACACATTCCTGGCCTTTTCACATATTCCCAAAGTTTCCATCTTCTTTTTTGGGCTTAAGACCCCAAAATTCACTTTTACAGCTTAGATGCCTCTCTTTAAATCCAGAACCACATTTTAGGAGGTCTTAGAAGCATGTCCACATGGATATTCCACTAAAAATGCCCTAGACTCAGCCATTTTCTTCCCAAATCCTTTCTTCCCAATGTATTTTCTAACTCAGATAAAAGCACAGTGTGTAGCCCATTACTTAATCCACATTCATTTCCAACTTCTCTCTCACTTTCCACATAGGCTCACTTAAGCTCTATGCATTAATGTCTATCAGATCGATTCCTCTTCTATATTCCATAACTGCTACAAGTCCTTACTATTCTGTGTAAAGTGTCTCAGCATTCTTCATAATGTTTATCTTTACCTCAAGTCTCAGCCCCCTTTGGCCCATCCCTCACTCAGTTTCAGAATAATGT